ACCCACTCACGCTAGTCCCCTCACCCTCCACTCTAGTCCCACACTCACTCCACACCGTCCACTCACTCCACTCTAGTCCACTCAACCCTGAGCGCCCTAACCGGCGTCCTCGTCCGCTTCGCAGACGGTTGTCAACAACCAGCTGCAGTGCGCCAGCCAGTACCAGGAGCTGTGCTGCCCTCCCGCCTCGGGCGGCGGCGGCGGTGGCAGCGGCGTGTACCCCGTGCAGCCACAGCCCACGTACTCGGCGTGCCCGGCGGCGTCCGCACGCCAGTGCGGCCGGCGCACCTCCATCCCGGTGCCCGGCTACAACAAGCAGCCGGCCGAGGCGCACTTCGGCGCCTATCCGTGGGTGGCGACCATTCTGCGCGAGGGCGACGCCTACGTCAGTTCGGGCGTGCTCATCGATAGCCAGTGGGTGCTGACGGTGGCCCACCACGTCAACAAGTACAAGAATGACTACTCTAGGCTCAAGGTACGGGCCGCTCGGATGTATTGGGGCTTTTCTTACATGTCCAGGTATGCAGTGTAGTGTATGTCGAGTGTGCATGGTTTTTCCTTAACTTGTCTTGTTTTTGTTGCTGTGTGTGTAGGTTCCGTCCATCGGAAGTAGCAATGTATTCTGAAAGTGATCAGGTGAGTGAAAATGGTTTATACCAGCAGTGCTGAGTCGCACTTCAACACAAATGTGCGAATCTAATCTGCGTTATATGCCTTTAAATCCATGACATGTCTCCATACAAATTTCGCGTGTGATCAGAACTGCAGCAACCGTTTGCGTGTTTTGTTCTCGAAAGTCAAATCACTTGCCTATGACCAGACTGGCGGCCACTGACTGTCCTCCACCCGGCAGATCCGCTTCGGTGAGTGGGACGCCAGCGACCCGAAGCACGAGCCGTGCGCGCACGAGGAGCGCACCGTCTCGCAGATGATCGTGCACCCGTACTTCAACTCCGGCAACCTGCCAGCAGGACTGGCGCTGCTGCGGCTCTCACAGCCGCATCTACCTGCAGAGCCTGCCGCCGATCAACACCGCCTGTCTGCCAGCCGCCGGCCAGAGCTTTGACTATCAGCGCTGCTGGGTGGCCGGCTTCGGCACAGGACGCGTTCGGCGCGCAGGGCCAGTACAGCTACATTCAGAAGGAGGTGGACGTGCCGGTCGTTGCCGCAGGACACGTGTCAGTACCAGCTGCGCCAGACGCGGCTCGGCGGCGACTTCCGGTTGGACTCGCGCGCCTTCATCTGCGCCGGCGGCGAGGAGGGCAAGGACTCGTGCGAGGGCGACGGCGGGGCACCGCTGGTCTGCGACGACGGCTCCGGCCGCTGGACCGTGGCCGGCCTGGTGGCCTGGGGCGTCGGCTGCGCTGAGGCCAACCGGCCCGGCGTCTACGTCAACGTGGCCCTCGTACGGTCGACGGGTTGCGGAACCAGATCGGCTACAGGGGTTGAGACGGCGGCCGAGGCGGCGGCGCGGCTGGCAGGCTGGCAGGCTGGCAGGCTGGCAGGCTGGAAGACTGGGAGGCTGGTACCTGAGAGGCTGGGCAGCTGGGGAAGCTGGGAAGCTGGGAGGCCGCGGATTTGTGAGGCCGGGGGCTGGCGCAAAAGTGTAGCTACACGTGGGTTTGGCCACAGCTGTTCAGCAGATTGTACTACAGCAGCTCGGGATGTGTCTCAGCAGCTCAGCAACCAAGCAGCTCGGGATGAGTCTCAGCAGCTCGGGATGCGTCTCAGCAGCTTGGGAATGTGTCTCAGCAGCTCAGCAGCCAGCAGCTCAGGATGAGTCTCAGCAGCTCGTGATGCGTCTCAGCAGCCCAGCAGCCAGCAGCCCGGGATGCGTCTCAGCGGCGCAGCAGTTCAGGATGTGTGATCGTTAGTCCACCGCTGGGTGCTTCTCAAGCAGCTCAGCTGCTGGAGATCTTGCTTAGCAGCCCCACGGGCTGGAGTTATTCCTCGCAGCTTAGCGTATGGAGTGATAAGGAGCGTGCACGGAGTGGCACAATCTACGCACTCGATCACAAACTCAGCCAGGGATGCGTGTCACGTGACCTCAACGCTCATGCTCGAACTGGATCTTGGCCACGGGCCGCCAGGCGAGTTCCATTGAGTACTGCACCGCTCACCGTTAATACATACGGCGCAATTCTATCCAAAGTGTTGCATGTAACGAAGGAGGAATATCCTCATATCAATTACCAAAGGGCCAAAACTCACCACATTGCTTGTTATAGTCATCGTGGCCGAGTCTTAGCTCGTTAGTCATGGACATGTACAGGCGGGTGTCACTCCTGCCTTCGCTGTCGATGACATATTTCAGGATGTACTTGCGGTTTTGGCCGCACAGACCTGTAATGCCTGATCGGTGGACAGCGAGAGCAGTGATGTCAGCGATGGGTCGCGAACCAGAACGTGGTGAGCACTGGGGCACCAGCTGCTCGCTGTGATATCCACTTCCGTAAGTCCCGGTCATGGGATGGGCATACGAACGACTCCTGATTCTGTGGCCGTGACCACGGAACCATAACATATGTTCAAACAGAAATACAAAAAATGGGACGGAAATCTGACGCAAGCGCACCCCTCACCCCCACCGCCCTACGTGAGATTCCGTTTTGTAGCACAAGGCTTGGCCAGGGGCTGTCCGCCGTGGCCATCCTACGAAACAACTCTGAAGTCAGTGGACTCCTTTACAGTACTGACATTCATTCTCACACGATATAAGATCGTGCTTAACATTTATGAATTGAAAAGGGTAAACGTTTAACGTGCTTTGTGAAAATCGTGGTAGGGCTGTGAGCGCGTTAGTTTTATTTAAATTCATGTGCGATCCAGGGTAGAACCCAGGGTAGAATAACTTAATTGTCAGCAAGCAGTTGGAAGTATGGGACAAAACACCTATATATTTAAGCACGTATTTCTGCACTGAACTGGTCAGACTTTGACAAACCACGAAGAAAGTTGGCGCGTTGGCCAGCTCCCCGAGCAACAACCTAACAGACATAGGAGTCCCCATTACGCAATAAAACACCAGCGCTGCACGTCACTGGCGGCACCGCTGTGGGACCGACCCCCTAACAGACGGTCCGGCAGAGCGGGCTGTGCGACCGTGACCTGCTGCAGCGCCGGCGCCCCCGCGGACCCGCGCCGGTGAACTTGACCTAGTTAGCAGGGGCGGGGCAGTCGCTGCAGACCCCGTTTGACACGTCTCGGACTGGCTTATTCGGACCGTGTAATCGTGAGCGCTGCTAATGGCATTCAGCTCCGCCGCGGGGACGTCGTGTGGGCCGGTGAAAGGCCTACGTCGTCTAACGCAGTCATCCCTTCCATCCGTCGAAGGGCGGTGGTGACGCCGCCAAAAAGCTTCAGCTGGATTGTAAGTGAAGCACTCAGATCGTCTCTAGATCCCAGATGGAAAGCGTCGTGGTTGCTGAGCGTGCCCGCGAAGCTCGTGGTTTCGGGAGCCAAAAATTCTCTTCGGCTCAATATATCCTTGCGTGCTAGTATTTGTTGGCACAGTGCGCTTCAGTTCATGGTACGCGCAACTGACAACTCAAAGCGAACTGAAGCATGCTGTTCTTGGAGTATAGGCACACTATTTGCATGCTGTGTCGTATATTCCTGTTGTTTTAGCATATCTTTCAAAAAGACAGCGCGAGAATCCTGTAGTGGAAATGTGTTATTGGCCACTTCACCCCTAGCACGTAGCCCAAACCCAGGTGAGGGTACTGATTGAATTAGCCCGGCTGACATCTTTAATAACGAACACCCATATTTTTACAACTCGTCCTGTGTTTTTCTCGGGGACAAATCCCAGAGTGCTTTGATTAGTACCATTATTTAAAGTTTTAAAAAACCGTTGTTGAGTTGGTACGGCGCACTGAATGCTCGTCACTCAACTGCGCTGTCCCCCTTAGACCTGACCCTGTCGCCGACACCACGGCGTGCGCATAGCTCACACCACAAACGACACATTCATGCATGCCCGGGTCCACACGAAACAACGAAGGCACCTAGCAATGTATTTACAGTTATCACAGTCACATGTTCAGCGATACAAAACGTCCCCCTTCGACCGCGGCAGAGGCGCCACTCCACGCCTCTGGCCTCAGCTATTGCCCTCCGCCGCAGCACGCCGCGAGGCTGACTGAGCGCCGACCCGGAGCACAGAACAACCGAACGACCACGAAAAACTAGCCGAACAACAATAAACGATCGTCTGCCCTAGCATCAGCAGACGCTGAGCAAGGGCTCCGCGGATGGGACGGGTACACTGGGGCAGTCTGCCTGGCATGCGCGGGGTCATAGTAACGAATGTTTACCTGCGCACCAACAACAGAACAGACAGCAACAAATCATTCATCCAAAGCGCGCTGATGCATCCAAGCACGATGGTGGCAACGCACGGTATAAGCCTCTGACGCAGGTTTAGCGATCCGGTTCATTGCAAACTGCTCGTTCTGGGATTGATCGGGTGTGACACGCGCAGTAGCAGCAGTCCGGTATGTTATATCTGGGACACATGACGCGACACGGATGTCAGCAGTGACATCCCGCCGTCAGTCTACACGACTCTGATGTACTTACACTTACACCAGGGCACCTCTACCTCACCTGATATCACACGGCAGTAACTGCGGTCTCAGCGTCACGCCTCAGGCGCCTCTGCAAGCGACACCAGAGCACAGTGTGCCACCCACCTGCTCTCGTCCCCTCACATCAGTCCGATGAACGCGCCCCTCCCCCCTGCACTCACAACTGCGTCACACGGGCGTCGCCATGGTCCCCGGTTTCATCTGCACGTCCTGGGCGTAGGAGGGTCGCGGTGGGTCTGCGTACCGGTCCACGTGCGCCCGGCCCCGCCCCAGGCTGCCGACCGGGCCGCGGCCGTACGCCGCGGCGGCGTCCACCGCATCCGCAGTGCCGTCTGGCGGCCGCAGCGCCAGGCGGCCGGCGGCGTCGTCGGCCGCGTAGTACCCGGTACGGCCCGCCAGGGGCGCTGCCGACCGTCTCGTCGTACGGCGCGCCGCTCAGCCTCTGTGAGGCGCTCGAGGTGTCGCTCACGTCCTGGGAGTAGTAGCTGGGTCGGTGGGCCAGGCCCGGCGACGGCGCCGCCTCGGGCGCCGGGTATCCGGCTGCCCGGCGCCCGCCTGGGCCGCGTAGTACGCCGGCTGGCCGCGGCACAGACTCGTCTCCTGCGGGTAGTAGGTCGGCTGCGGCGGCGGTGCCACGCTCTCGTGGGCCCGTAGTAGTGCTGGCTGTGCGACGGGCTGTCAGCCGGAGGGCGGGCGCCGAACTCAATTGGCGTGCTCGCGTGCAGCATGCGCTGCTGGCCGCCCGGCTTGTGCAGGTAGCCATTCTGGTCGTAGGGAGGGTACATTCCCGTGCCGTTCTGCGGCATCGCCTCCTGTGAAAGAAGAAGCGTGTGAATACAGTGAGGTAAAGCATTGTTTACGTCACAGCGGGATACGCGAATATCCCGATTTTGGGACAGCAGTTGAACCGTACTGAACGTGCTACCCTGCGGCGCGATCCTGAAGTTCAGGGACAAACTTCTCAATGCCGGCAGCTGGACAAGCAAGTGCTTTGATCCGCATCAGCAGTTTTAAAGCAAATGCCTCTTTGTCAAGCACACCGCCATCACAACTGCAGCGTGTCTGTCCGTTCACTTGCAAGCTCAGCACAAAAAAACAATTATTCGGCCGCATGGCAGTAACGCGACCAGGCCCGTCCGCACGGCACGCCAACAGCTAATCATTCCACCGTCACCAGTGGCGTGTCAAATGGCCGCGTAGGGCTCGACCGCACCTTGTCGAAGGGCGGGAAGGCACGCTCGTCGCTGTGCTGCTCGTAGAGGGCGCGGTGGCCGGGGTAGTGGGCGCCGTCCCAGCGGTCCGTGATTACTTGACCCGATCCCGACGACGACGTGCGGATCTCGACCTTGAGGTCGGAGCCCGATGAATTGGCGTCCGCCGTTGGCTTGACCGTCTTGTCAAACACCACTGGCTCTGCGGGCGGGTGGAGGGGTCAGGACGAGCCGCGAGCGCCGGAACGTCCCAGCACGATGGAGACAGAGCAAAAATGCGATGTGACCATCAGACATCGAAAGTTCAGCCCGTCCTTCAGGACACTGTAAAGCTAAGCTGTCGCACAGATCACTAAGTAACATATCATTTTTGGTCATCACTGAACAATGCCAACGTCACAACAGATTCGCGTGGTGGGGCCATCGACAAAGCTGTCGTCAAAACAACTGACATCTTCTAAATCAGAACATGAAAAACCACCTTGTAAACCATTGTAATACCGTGTGATCCACAGACTTATCTCACTGAATCTATTCTGCCCAGGATAAAGACGGAAATCCCTCTCGCCATAAATCGCGTTACGTCCAATCAGTGATCACCTCGGGCGTCTCTAAGACCCAAGGCGCCATATCAAAACAACCGCCTCAGTGACATGACGTTTGTTTGCAATTGTAAGCAAACGATTATCAAGGTCCTGCCATTAACAGTTCCTTGAAAGGAATAACCTTTCTGTGAATGTAACCGGTCGCCGACGCTCAACTATCACCCAGTGTACATGGAAAACAGGCTCGTACCGTGAATCGAGGCCAGAGCATAGGTAATCCGACCACATACATGCGTAAGCCCTGCTCTGATAGACACGAATAATCCTTCTCAGTGACGTGTAGGTGAAGCATCGACCCGAATCAACGTGCACGAATGCTTAATGCCATGAAAAACGTATTTAAAAATGGCAATTGCAACTACAAAGATGGCAACGAAAAATGCGGCCCGTCGACTTGACGGTAACGCTGGCTGAAGCACACACCGACCTGTCGGCACGTCCTTAGCACGGCGGCGATGACGCTGGCACATGATGATCACCAGGATGATGGTGGTGATGACGATGATGCCCCCAATCACGATGGTCAGGATGACGAGCAGCGGAAGCTCTCCTGAAAGATATGGTTCGTGTCGTCACCTGCGCAAAACCTCGACACTGGGCTGAACCTTCAAACATGCAAGCAAGATATATCTCTCTTGAGAGGCCATGCCACCCTCTCCACATTTGTCTCGGCCTACATGCATTTATAGAAAATCCCAATGTTGGCAAAACTGGTCTATGAAAACTCGTATAATTTGGGGAAATCTGCTCTTCGCCCTTCCGCTGCGAGGAAAAACATGTGCCTCCGCTAGTGAGAAGACGTGATGCTCGTGATGACATCTGGTCACTGAAGAGCATCCCAGGATGGTGCCCATGGCGCCCATTCACGCCAAAAATAACAGACCCGACGGGGGCGCTGTGGTAACATCTGCGCTTTAGCCAACCAGCGAGGCCTTAAGGACTAATCCGTTGTCTGCGTGCACCAACCGGCTAGTTGTTTTTTTTTGGGGGGGGGGGGGATTCAGAACGGAATCACGCAGGCCATGGATGAACCGGTTTGGTCGCCATTTACGGCGCTATGGCGGCGCGGCCACCTTTGCAATCCAACATAGACTCATGTCACCACATTCGGTCGGCAGCTTGCATCCATTTTCTATCACTCCATTGTGGTGCATACAACTGTAACCAGACGACGCTGAGTGCTGCAAGGTTTGAACGGGCGCAAGTATGCCTTGTAGTACCACTGCGTCTGCAGTCAAGCATTTAACTTCGACTCATTCCAAAATGTGATGGCAAATTCGGATTGGGTGGAAGTTGAAGCTCAGAGATAGCTATTCGGATGTTGCGAAATACTCAAACTCTCACAGAAAAATAGCCAAAAACAAGGAGCAGGCATTTTGAGCTTCAACAGCAGCACATTCACAAGGTGGATTTACACAAATTTGCTTAGGATGCAGAAGCATGAGTTCAACGAAAACATTAACAACCCTACGCTATGAGTTACAAAACGAAACATTTTCCAACCTTATGATACTATTCATAGAAAGAGCTTATCTTTTTTACTTCTGAATTCAGATTTCCATCAAATCTTTTCTCAGGATAATTTAAATACCGTCATATGTGTAAGCTTGGGATCATCGCACCGTAAAATTACGACGGTAGTCCTACACCGCAATGTACACCATTAATCGTGATATAAGCAAGCAGGGCTTTGAGCTCTGGATGTTCGTCGTCATAAATTGTGAGTTTCTCTGTGGAAAATAATCGGCCTTCCATAAACCAGAAGATACTGGCTAACCGACGTTATCAAGCATTCACTGGCTATGGTATGATTGATGGCATGCTTGTGCTTATGGTCCCGAGTGATTATGACCACAGATTTGGAACGTCGAAATTTCTCAATAAAAACAACTCTTGCTTGACAAGGTTGTCCAACTACTACCTCCTGGTGCGCTGAAGCTTCGATATTTTCAACTAAATAACTCCCAACCTATGATGAGGAAAAACGAAGAAGGTAAAGGTAAGTAAAAACGAAGAGGTAAACACTCGCCCTACTTACATCAAGCACCAATTCTACGAATTGCCGCAAAATGTATGTGTTCACCCTCAAGAACAGTATCTAACATATTTCACACTCATAATTTTCACTACTAATATCGACGCCTCTTGCTGCTCTTCTTTCAATCCGCAAACAGTTGGAAACATATGTATAGGTGTCACGGATTATATAAATGCATTTGAGTATCGATTTTTTTAAATATTCGGACACCGAAATCAAACCAATTGTTCACCACTGTCTCTCAATCGGCATAAGCAAATGAAGTGGAGTTGGTGAAAAAGTGAAACACAATATGTCATATCTGGAACGTCCCGGTGGCTCAGTTGGTTAGAGATCACCTGATCACCCGTGGCGCGGGGGACGCCTCAGGCGCTCGCTATTTGCCCTCGACAGATATAGCCTGCGGCCGGTGGCAGCAGCTGCACTAAAGGTCAGGCGACATCAGAGGGCACGGCGTACCGGGCCGAGCATTGCGGTATATTTAACTTTTGCCATCAAATGCTGCCGTTGACCTGGAATTGCGCGATTGGATGGTGGGTGTCAGAGCTCACAACAAGCAATGCTTAGCGAAAGCTCTGAGCTCATAAATCCATATCCATCTATTCAAAAGGTTCTGGTCAACTTTTACAAAATATCCCCACAGCATAAAACAACGCATATTGGTAGTATTTCGGGCTGCATGCAATGATGGTTACTTCCAAAAAATAATCAAATAAGTACGACGTCCTCCAAACAAGTGTGATGACGATGAAACTGGCGTTAAGGATTACGACCATTTTACAATGAATGTATGACGACGTTTGGCGAGTAGAGTGGAAGATATGCCCTATGTACTGGATCAAAGGTCAGTCAACATGCTCAGCAGCAAACCACGTCAAATATTCGTGCCTCCTGCGGTTCGCAAACACGTGTAACAAATGACACGCACGCAGACATTTTACAGCACGCTGGATTTACAACAAATGAAACCCATAGTAGCATTCAAACGTAAACCGGACTAAAGCGCGTGTTTTTATCGGCGCTGATCTCCCAGCATTAGGTCCAGAGAACAGCAGTAAACGTCAAAGCCACCCAGCAAAGCTCCTGTTGCGATTGCAGCGACAGCAGGCCTGCCTCGCTGCTGGGTGGCGCCCATACGGCCGCTCGAGGTGGGACATGGCTGCTTCGACGCCGCCGAACTAAGTGATCGGACAGCGATAGAGCAAGGGTCGGGATTCCACGGCACCGATGGGAAGTAGCCTCCCCTGCCCACCCGGGTGCCTGCCCACTCACCAGGGTGAAAATGAGCCCATCGCCACCGCACACCTTCGTAGCTCAAGGCCGAGCCTGTCGCTCGTGCCAACCAACAATATTTTTGCTGGAATTTACCGAAAGTACGCGGTCGTTGTGTCAGCGGACAGGTAAGTTCCATGCAATGCACAAGCCTGCGAGATAACGGAAAAACGAATTCGCTTTCAGTTGCAATGGGGCACCCGTGCATTGCGGCGACACGAGTCCTTGTTGACCGACTCAGCCCGCCCAGCAGCCGCAGCCAACCGGCATGTGCCTGCTCCGCACCCTGGCACTTTCCGTCATCTAACCCGCCACCGACGATCAAGAATGACTGACATCCCGTATACAGCGTTCGATGCGTTTGTTTCCTGTATGTACCCCTGTCGACAGATCTGTGCGCAAGTTCTTCGCCACCCAATTGTGTGTGATGAATGTTCGCTGCTTGCGCGATATGTGAGGTTTAAGCCGCGTTTAGCCCGTGACCGATCATACCTATCAAAGTCCGACCAAAACCACAGACAGATGATTGATGTCCACGTCACGTCTGGTCTTGAGCCTTCGTAAAAACATACGTCCCAGTCTAAATTGCCGAGTTCGCTACCTTGGATACCAGCGTTGTCTGGCAGGTGGCGGACGCCGGGTCCGTCCCGCTCCCACCGGGCAGTAGCAGAGCGTCATCCGCCGCTCGTGAGCACCACCGGCCACCCGCTGGTACTCACGCTGCTTCTCCAGGATGACGAGCGCCGAGTCCGTGCCGTAGGTGTTGGTGACGGAGCAGTTGTACAGGCCAAAGTCCTCCTCACGGGCGTCGGGGATCACGAGCAAGCTGCGGATGCCGCCCACGACGACCTCCTCCACCACGGCGCAGTGGCCGGCGTCTGCGCAGTCGTGAGGAAGTAAGGTTACCACCGCGTCAGCGGTGGTTCGGCCTCTCCCCACCGCGAATGTTACACTGAGGAAAGGGGACACCGCAGGACAACGCTGTTAACCTCCTCATGTCAGGGCGGTGGTTCAAATTCCCGGCATGCAAGCGCGCTCACAATTCTCCACAACTCGGCGAGTGTGAGCAGTGGTTTTTGACCCGACTCCAACAAACGAACAGACGTGGCACACCTCTATGAACTGCCTTACACCTCCCCCAGCACACGCCTCCTCAAGCCCGCCCAAACCAGCCCCGCCCCACCGCTCCGGGCCCTGTCCCGCCGGCGGCCGCTCACTGACCGAGCGGCACGGGCTGGTTGTTGAAGAGCCAGGTGACGGCCGTGGGTGGTGGCACGCTCGCCACGCTGCACTCCAGGTGCACCAGCTGGCCGGCAGTGCCGCGCTGGGTCGGCGGCGCCGTGACGCGCGGCGGCGCGCGCACGAAGAGGCGAATCTGGCGCGACACGGCCGGGTGGTGCTCGCCCGAGGTGCGACATTCGTAGAGGCCAACCGTGTCGGCGGAGGCGACCAGCGTCAGGCGGCGGCCGGTGCCCACCGGCTGTGGACAGGCGGGGCGGAGGTCAGGTCACGGGTCAGGTCAAGGCACCTGCGCAAGACGACTGTGTCCGCGGAGCAGGTCAGGCGACAGGGTCAGATCCGCTCGTCGGAGGTGAGTTTCGCGTCGATGCACGCCAAATCACTTAACTGGAGCGATCCTTGGAGTGATCTGGAGTGATCTGGAGATACTTTAGTGGAGTAAGATCACTTTGCCCACTTGACTCCCTCGCCTCATTCTCCCACTGCGGAGGGACGCTGTGTGCCCGCATATGTGCGTTGGCTTCTCGACAATGCGCGATCCCAGGATCACAATCCAGAGAGGAAGTCGACCGCTCTGGCCGTTTAGTTCTACGTACGGTGTATGGCACCGTACGTAGTGTTGAACATGCTGAGGTGCTGGACACTTAGAGACGCTCTCGCAACATTTTGAGAGCTCTCCTCACATTTCAAAGCTCTGCTATTTGCTGCGACGCACGGCTATTTGTCGGACGAACACCCAGAGTAAACACGTCGAGTACTGCTTTGTGCTAAGCCAAGCCCGGCAAGCAGAGCTGCAGCGCCGCGAATGCTTGCAAAATAAGAGACACCGCTCCTTGAAATATATCCAGCCGGCGCCAACGAGAACCGCATGAATTCCCCGTAACGTACGCAATCTGCATGCAAACTGGGAGCCGGGTGGCAGGAGATGGGGCTGTACCGCCCATCTGTACCTGATGTTTTTGCATTCACTGCTAAAAATGAAGTCATGACCTAACTGCACCGGTCGTGAGTGCGAGAGGATGTCGCGACGCGGCCTCATCCCGCCGCGCAAAAACGTGCACGCCAAGCAGTACGCGCGATTCATCTCGGGACACAAATCCCGAGAACCGGTTCCGCCATTATGTTTTGTGGGCTGCCGTGACCGGGCCGTGTTTCTGTAAATGCCGGAAACGAGTGACGGCCGCGAGCGCGTCGGGCCGGAGCCGGCGCGGTCGGCCGGCTGCAGCGGCGGTGGCGGCGACGGCCGGTGTGAAAATTGAACGACCACTCGCCAGAGATGGGAGCAGTTGCCAGCCGAGAGTAGCCCGTAATTGCGGCCGACATGCGAGGGGTGCACCCGTGGCCGCCGTGTCGCGGCGGAGCAGGACGGCGGCCATCGCGGCGCAGACGAGCTGGGACCGCGAGTGGGGTCACTGACCTGACGGTTACAACCCTGCACGGCGTGGAGTACGGCCAGGGGCCCACCGGGTGCACGCCATGCAGACTGAGAGTATATGAGGTAACGCCCGGGGAGGCGGGCCATCACAACAACGTGAGGCGCCAAATCGCGGTGGCTGGCAGCGACAGAACTGGATGGGGACCAGTCCAACGACTGGAAGGGGAACTAGGAGAGATTGCCGGGCATTCAGGATGGTATCTCTCCGCTGCAGTCACTGCGGCTTCATCTAACTCAGCCTTGTTAAAACATAACCGCTCCACGTAGAGTATATCTGACTGACAACAGTTGCAATCCAAAGCAAGCTCTGGTCCTGCACATCCTTCTACCCGCGTCAGCACAGATCAAACCAAGGCCGTTCTGATAAAAAAAAGCACTCTAAACCAAGGCAGCTCTGCCCGGCCGCACGGGTGAGTCACAGCACTCAAACCGCGGCAGCCGCTGGTCACGACAGCCCAGCACTCTGCGGTCCTGCGCGACGGCGGCCCGACCAGCGCGTCCCCAAGCTTGAGCCGCCGGCTCGGCCTGGGGCTCGAGCCGTCGGCGGAGGCCGCCGGCCGACCTTGCGTCTCACGCGGCGTGACGCGCCCCCGGCCTGGCGTGACGCGCCCCCATCAGCCGCTGCAATCGGCCGCGACCAGTGGGGTCAGCCCCGTGACCCGCGCCGACCGGCGACATTCCGCGCTCGCCAGAGGCGGCGTCAGGACCGCACTCCGGGGGAGGGAGCAGTGCGGGTGGCAGGAGCGCGCGCAGATGGGCTGTGAGCGGAGGATGGGATGGGGTGCCGGCGTGGTGTTTCAAGAGTGAGGGTGGTGGGGAAGGGACGTCTGGCACGCTGCGTGCGCCCCTGCACGTGCAATAGTCCGACGCACGCAATATCCGCGCAGGGTGATAGTTACGTGTACGCCGGCTTGTAATAACCTTTTTTTGCAATCGAGGGAGTTTACTGACGCTTTTCGCCTGTCAGCGCACCCCACTCGCAGACGTTCATCAGCGAGCTGTACCACCCAGGCCGGCAAGACCCGCGCATAACAGGCTCCTGCCACGACATCCACCGGAGCCTCGATACCCAAGCGGTGCGTATCGCGACCGTGCGGTATGTCAGGCATCCCCCAACACCGGTGAGGCCGGTGCTGCGCTGCAAGGAATTCGAAACATGTGCCGGGTAAGCCACGTTAGGTTCCTGACCGGCCAGCCGACAACCTGCAAGCACGGCAGACTTCTGTCGACGCCCACATCGGTAAGTCAGCACGTCGCCTCGGTCCGCAAGGCTGCCGTCGCGCTGGCGGTTAGCCACTGTTTTACAGCGCTGTTTCCTGAGTGAGCAGCACGGGCGGCTTCAGGCACAGTGTGCTTATTCAGCGGAGCCTGTCGCGTGTTCCCTGAATCCTCTTCCATTCTCGGACGCAGGATTCACCCTCTTCGCACCCAACGCCCGCCTGCCGTCGCTCCAGCAGCGACTCCCCGCCGCACGACTCGCGGCGCCGCGGTGACTCACCTCCGGACAGGCGTCGCACTCGCGCCTGACCCAGCTGACCTCGGGCGCCGGGTTGGCGTCCACGTCGCAGAGCAGGGTCGCCTCCTGGCCCACGGCCGCGGCCACGTCCCGCGGCTCGGTGCGGAAGCGCGGCGCGTCTGCGGACAGCGCGGGGCGCGCGGGTCAGTCATTCCCAGTCCGTACAATGGCGGATTGTTTTATTGTCCGCCAGCGAAGCGGCGCAGCAGGCCATGCTTTTGGCCGCGTCCGCGTCGTAGACGGTAATTAATCGGCCGTTGCGGTCATTTTTCCGACGACATTAACGTCTAATCTGAGTTCTCGGCTTGGTGCAGGCGGTGCGGCCGCCGCTAAGGGCTGGATCTGTTACATGGCAGGGGTAGATAAGCGAGTTTTTTGCCGAGCGCTGCGGCGTGGTACGACGAGGCATGGGCGGGTAGACAGTTATGAAGCTCGAGGATGAACGGGGGGCGGGGAGCATCAGGAAGCCTGGTAGCATCACGGCGGCCAGCACTGCTGCTCGCTGCGGCTGTCGAGAAAGCCGGGTCTGACTGGATCCGGCGGCAATACGAGGGGCGGCACGGGTGATCATAGGTTACACATGCACAAAAGCAGGCGCACTGATAACCAGTCAGCGCTCTCGACACACAGAGCCAAGGCTGACCTGGCGCCGCATGCACCGACCGTGTTAAACCGTCAGCAACCGGGAGCTGCCCCACACCGCACTGCCACTGACGCTCAAAGGTCCGCAGCCAGCACCTCAACTGATTTCGTGGGACGCCCCGCCGCCGCCAGTCACTCACAGAGCACGTTTATCTGGGTGGCGTCGCTGCCCGTGCCGGCGGCGTTGGTGACCTGACAGAGCACGGAGGCGTTGTCCAGGTGACGGCCGACGGCGCGCAGCGTCGTGGAGCTGTCGGTCTGGCCTGGCAGCGGCTCGCCGTTCACGAACCAGCGATACCGAACCTGTGACGTCAGCGGCCGGCGTCAGGGCGGCCTGCAGGCGACCTTAACCGCAGATCGGACGGCCCCATCGTCAATCGTCGCCATCTCGCCGCAGGTGGCCGGCGCGCGAGACTCGGCTCAGCTCGGGTCGGCCCGCCCGGCCGTGCCTCGCTCGGCGGAGACCGGGCCCCGACACGACACCGCGCGCCATTGTCCACAGTCGGGCCTCCGCCACTGACGAGCGCCGGCAGACCAGCACCGTTACCTCGGCCGTGCCGCAGGTAAGCGCCTGCACCGGCCGCGGCGACGGCGGCCCCACCGCGCCCACCGATTACCACATGGGCTGACCTTTCTACCTGCTGGTGGAAGCGGGCTCAAGGGCACCAGCACCACTCATCCGCTCACGGAGGGTGGTGGACATCACGTGACTCTAGGCTGGGTTCATTATCCCAAGGGGATGGATAGCACGCCGGACAGCTGCACCACGGCTCCAACACCGGAGCGGTGCGTACAGGCCGTCACATTCCCACAATGATTCGGACGGTCATATCATCAATCACAAGACAATGACCATAATCAAACAGAAATTCGACGTAAGTAAGAAGAGCCGTAAGCTGCCGCCTGATCACTCAGCATTAAGAGCTTTAGTGCTGAAAATGGCCGGCTTCAATCAGTCGGGACGAGTCTGTTGACAGCCGTCCTAAATGTCAACCACAAAGTCAAGAGCATTTTCCACGCCGGCGCCCGCCTCGCGCCCGCTCCTTCGCCAGCGCCTCACCTGGCCGGGGTTGGCCGTGGCGCGGCAGTGGAGGGTGACGTCATCAAACTCGGCGGCGCGCGCCCGGTCGGCGCTGACGCTGACCTCCGGCGGGAACGTGACCTGCAGCCGGACGGCGGCCGTCTGCGGCCGAGTGAGCGCCGCGTTGTGCGCCCGACAGGTGACGGTCGTGTCGTGGTGGGCCGGCGCCGCCGTCAGCACCAGGGTGGAGCGCACCACACTCCGCTTGCCGTCGGCATCAGCGCCGACTCGGTGGAGGTGCCGTTCTCGAGGATCGCGCCGTCGCCGCGGTACCACTCGATCTGGGGAGAGGTGGGGGGGGGGGGGGGGGGGGGTTACCACGTGGCCTGGGGGCGGGCTATTATGCAGCCTGGGCAGCCTTTGGAGGGGTGTGGTTACCACTCAGTCTGGGGAGGGGGGGGGGGTTACCAACCTACTGGGGTCTGAGGGAACATACGACATGGGCAGGAAGCAGCATTTGATCTGGACACAGTTGGTTCACGTGATAACTGTCCGTGAATCATTTGCGAGTTACAAATGAACGATAATAACATGCTCTAAGCAAACGACATTAGCTTAATATCCGTATAATCTCACACTTCACTAAATCGTGATAATTTCAACCATTTTTATTAGATTGGAAACCGAGGGGAGCAAAGGAAAACGTACGATCAAGTCCGACTCAGTTAACATTGCATATGCCGGCGAAAACTGTTGAGCGATAACATAAAACATCACTCTAGTCGCACGCAACCAGCATCGATTTTCACAGTAGAATGTAAACATCTCTTCAACGCCTCGAACTCAGCACGTGAAGGACACCCCTCCCACTCGCCCACCTGGGCTTGTGTGACGTCACTTCACGCGGCCAGTTCGGGCATCACCTGGCTTTCACCTCGCGTGACCCGGCGAGTTATGTTCGCCAGTGCCGTGGAAGAGAATTGAAGCCGGTAAATGGTGTCCAGGTTATAGCCTATTCGCGTTCGGCGATGGAAACGCAGATGACCTTTGGCCGCGGTAATGACGGCTGACAGGGATGCAGAGCCGCGAAACGTCGAGAAACTCGCAGGGTGGGGCCGGCAAACGCACCTTCAGAGTCGCGACAATTGGCTCCGATTTTTATGCAGGCGTTTGGCCTGTCCATGAGTTCAACACCCCACGACCTTCCCTTCTCTTTCAGCGGCATGTCCGGGATACAGAGTCCGCCGGGTGACGGGGGCGGGGCTTGGGGGGGGGGGGGGGGGGGGGGGGAGGGGGGCGACGGATGGCGGCTTAGGGTGCTGCTGATCGCTGTAAAGGCGATGGGTTTCTGGTGGCGCGCGGCGCAGTGGAGCCCGGTACTTTCAGCTCGAATGGCTGAGTGGAGTAGAGGCGTTTTGATTCAGAGCCCAGGCATTCAGCAGACCATAATCCCGCTCTTCAAGTTTAGTGTTCAACAACAACGGCAGCGTTCCCAACTTGTATCGGCGCTGCGCCAGTTAACTCTGAATGGGTCCTCAACGCGCCATCGAGTCACAACACCGCCCACTCGTGACCAGGAGTATTTCCCCGCACGTCAACTCGCCATACCACCACAGGGAGCCAACCCCGCGGCGCCTGCCACGTACCGGGCAGGTGCCAAAAACGTCTCGACATTCCGTGGGAGTGACGGGAACCTGAGCAGGTCGAGCGAGCGGTGCGGTACTGACCTCGTGGCCGGTGGACGGCCCGCCGCGACTCCTCGCACTGGAGGCCGGACCTCCAGGGCCGGCCGCGGTCGTCACCCGGTCCCCCTGGATCACCCGCGGCGGCTCCGGCGGCACCAGGATCGTCAGGCGCGCGTCACGGGACCTGCCGCAGGACCACGATCACGGCGTCACGGAACCTGCTGCCGCTGGCGGATCGTGATCGCACGTCCAACAGGACACGAGGGGGAGTCACGATTGTGATCATCACTGGACCTGCGAGACAGTGGTGACCTTTGAGAACGGAAACCTGAAGTAAGGTTACGGTCACGAGCGCCACGAGAACCGTGGGAAAATTACTATTCGGCTCAAGGAGCATGATACAGGGACCTGAGGAGCAGTGTGATGATGCGCAGAGATGCAAGATTTTAAAAGTGCATGTCAAGACGTAATACACGAGCTTGGACATCACGGTTTTGAAAAAGACCACAGCCTTAGGCGTAACAAAGTTTGTAGGCAAACTACGCTCGTATGTTGAGCACCAAGGAATCGGATTAAGAATCCTCGCCTTCAGCATCGCTAGACCTGGGTTAGCACCAGCCTTAGGCACACATCGGACTCCGGGGAATTCACGATTTCCAAGTTCTGGCGGCGAGCGTGTGAGATACGATTTTATCGTATTTAATGGCCTTTCGATAATCATAATCGATAACTCACTAGCATATTACATAGGGACGGGACAGAAAGGCGAATGACGCCACTCAGACCGCGAACGTCGAAGGAAACCGTGCAGAATGGCAGTACCCCTTATGCGAAGGCGCAGCGCCGCACAGACACGATAGTGGATGTCGTCCATTAAGGTGAACAATGATGCGCAGTTACCGAACGACCGGGGGCGGAGAATTAAATCAGCCTGGCAGAAGATTGCCAAAAGGGGCATGTTCTCGTACATCACAATCGATGGCCCAGTCGACTGGCCAACGAAAACATCGAGATTCAGAACTGGATTTCACCACATTTAATGTGGTTCATACACGCGTTTAGAAGAGCTGGCCTTTAGGTTTGGGGAACTAGGCTGAGTGTGAGAGATATCCACACCCAAATGTGAGAAAACTGTACCCCCGTCTACCAACGTGAGGAAACGAATAATTGCAACAAACCCTTGCGTGTAATCCCTCATTCAAGACATTCATCACAGACTATGTTTTAAACCTGGGCCAATGTTCAGTGCCCGTCCGACGAACGGCTACAACTAAAGACACGACAAAAAGGAACAAATCCTTGCTTACATCGCTCCTTCAAGCTATTACGAAAATGACCAGCCTTAGCACCACCAATATTAAGTGATACGATTAAGCGTATAACTGAGGCTCATGTTCAACAAACCGGAGAAAAAAAACGTGAGAAACGTGCCGTGTAAATAACCGCAAACGTGAGTGGTGTGATTATCACAAAGCAGTTCAAAAAAATAATCGAACAGAGTGGACCATCATGAAAAAAATGCACTGAAAAGAACTGAGTGCTTATTTTAGGCCCGCTGCTTGAAAAGTTCTACAAAATTTCCGTTTTTGTTTGGTCAACTATACTCACACCAATCACAAACACGACACGGAAGGCAGCAATTATCTTCGGGCCTCAAAAATAACCTCCACCACCCTCACAGTACGGACACAATTCGCCACGCGATGCAGTTAATACCTAAATTACGGTCATTCAACCATCCACGCTCTGCACGTAAAATCGTAACTACAGACAAGCAATAATTCCGGTCGCATGGCAAAGCCCGGCCTCAGGTCTGTGCTGGCCCACGGGGCCTTCTCGCCTGATGCCCTGCTGGCCGACGGGCCTCGGGTCTGTGCTGGGCCGGCGGGGCCTTCCAACCTGATGCCCTGCTGGCCGACCGGCCTCGGGTCTGTGCTGGCCGACGGGACCTTCTCACCTGATGCCCTGCTGGCCGACCGGCCTCGGGTCTGTGCTGGCCCACGGGGCCTTCTCGCCTGATGCCCTGCTGGCCGACGGGCCTCGGGTCTGTGCTGGCCGGCGGGGCCATCTCACCTGATGCCCTGCTGGCCGGCGGGCCTCGGGTCTGTGCTGGCCGGCTGGGGCTCCCTTACCTGATGCCCTGCTGGCCGGCGGGCCTTGGATCTGTGCTGGTCAGCCGGGGCTCCCTCACCTGATGCCCTGCTGACCGGCGGCCGAGCCGACCTGACACTGGAACACGGCGTCGTCCTCCAGCGTGGCGCGCTGCACCTCCAGCGAGTAGATGCCCTCGTGGTCATCGCCGATCATCTGGTAGCGCGGGTAGCTGGGTAGGTCGCGTATGACGCCCAGGCCGAACTCGTCGCGGGTCCACTGTACCTGGCCGACTGGCTCCGACACCTGGAGAGGGGAAAAGGGGAATAAGGCGAAGGGCAGCGGGACTGAGGCGGCTCTTCGTGTCGGCTCCGGACCGGCCCCGGCAGGGGAGCACCGGGAGCGCCTCTGGGAGGTGACGTTGGCGACAACGCAGTCCACGGGGAGAGGGATCTTCACAGGCATGTCACGAACATGCCACTATGCCAAGGGAGCCTTACTGTACACCGACTGCCGGGAATACCCATGCACCCGCAAGCGCATGGGAGATCAAGCAAAATATGCAGCGCGCACACGCCGGACCTTGGTAAGCACGAAGGGTGATCTTTCCACTCGGGGGGGCGAGCCCAGATTCAAATTCGGAATGCGAAATAGTTTAGCAATCGCGTGTCACTGCTGCCTCCTGCTTCCTGATGGCCAAGCAACGAAAGGAATATGTGTGGCGCGGCCGGAAAAGGATGAATGATTCCTGTTGAAAACCAAAATGCTTACAAACGAGTAAAGATATTCTTGAGACGACGCCGTTGGGACTGCACTTAAAGTGCTAGCAACTTTAATACGGTCGACTGCAATCGCCATGGTCCGTTCGGAAACTTTAAGCAGTGGCGTTACGTGGTGTCTCACAAATGTGACAAACACTGTGTGGCAGCTGAGTGGCACCGTGCAGCAAGGGTCATGAACTTCGGAATCATTTCCATCACGACGATCGTTCGTAGATAACCGTAAAATCAAGGAACGTTTTGTCCACAGATCCCTGGAAAAGGATCTTCTTTCGTAGAACACTAAATAAAAACGGTGGGAAACCTTCCCACGGCCGCCACTGGTCCGCATAGTACGCCGCATAGTACATGAACGACCTTGTCAAGCCAACGATGTGGGATAGCTCCGTGGGCTGCAGCGTTAGCGCCAGGCGAGATGCACGTGTTGCAAGTTGGTTCCACCACGCCGTCAGCATACAGGCCGGCAGGTCTCATGTTAAGCACCACATATTCTGGGAAACGTCCACTGTTTGCATGGTGTGACTTACGGCGTGTAAAATGGCATGAATTATGGGGATGCCCGCCCTACGCATTCCACTCAAAACACAGCAAATGCATTAGTGTCGTAACCAAACTTAAAATTTATGCGGGCTTGAGTGGCTCAATTACTGCCCATCAAACCCATACAAACGAGCGCACCGCAGTTCAGGCTGGAAATCTGCCCTGTGGTCTTGTCGACCGGCCTGGTGCCATGACCAAGCCGAGCCCCCACGTCCCTTCCCTCTGCGCACGCAACGCAACCAATTACGACGCCATTACTATTCCACACACACATAAGCCTCACGTACTCGGACTGGCAAATTTGGTAACATTAACGCTATTATGCAGAAGATTGCAGTCTCCAGGGCTACAGGATGATGGACCGCTAGTTGACGCGTTTACGCCAGTGACGTTACCGCGAGAGCTGGGACAACCACCGACCTGGCAGGCTACCCCCGGGCGATGAGGAACACAAGGCCAGAGGGGGAGCGCGCGGCACGGCACAAAGACCGGCTGGTGTGAACGGATCTGATGACGTCAGCACGTCAGTCAAGAGTCTCTCTCTATCGGATCATCTGATCTGGTGGGGAGTTTGTCGTCGGAAGTAGGGTCATTCCTTGGCAGTACGAGGAACTCCCACCTCACCTTACAGTATCGTTTAGATTGTATCTGTATAACCAGTATTGAGCCTGTGGGATTGTGCCTCTCAACGCATGGCAAGCTTAACGGAATTCTCAAGCTTCGTAGGGCTATAACGCGGCAGTAGTACAAAGATGCTGATGCAACTTGTGTAGACCTTATATTTTTCAAGGGCCGGCCGTAAATGACACATTGGCAGATAACTGGTAATATTAAATGACGAAGAATGCTGCATTCTTTAATACGGATTTATACGTGACTTTTATTGTTCATTTGTCCCCGTGCTTTTTGTCGTTTAAATTATTGCGAAAGAACTATTACCAGCTTTCTCACAGTCATGAAGCATAGCATACAATTGACCGGTAGTTCAGATTTACCACCAGCCAAGAGATATATATCTACAATAAAAACCTCGTAAAAGTTCCTTAAAGTACGATCGCTCAACCCACGGAAAAATGACATCTGCGTGTAAATGTCTTAAAACCTCCCGCCTCTCGTTTTGTTGCCTGCGCGGGGCCTGTCACAGAATATGTCGCCTACCACCCTAAGTGTTGGCAGCTTCGTCCAGGCCGGGTAGCCTCCACAGCGCTGGTCCGTCAGCTGTTTACCCGGGAATGTTTGGCCATATCTGGCTCGGCCATGCCATAGAGCAGAAAGACCCGCAGCACTGACATGACACTGGAGCACCAGCGACCTCTTTCTCTAGACAGGTGATAACGGTGTGGAACACAACACCCACTGATACATGCGCACCAACCATCGGTAAAAATGCAGAGGGGCACTTCTGAGCACCACTAGCAGAAGGGCACCTCTGATTAAGCGGTGGCGATGTGGAGCACCACCGGTGGCGGTGTGGAGCACCGCCGGTGGCCGACACTAACCTGGCACGGGAGCACCACCGTCTGGCCCTCCCTGACGTACTGGTCGGAGGGCTCGCGCACAAACGACTGTAGCGCGTCGCTGAAGTCGTGCAGCAGGCACAGGTGCACCAGCACAGTGCACCACCGCCACATCTGCCGAGCACACCAAAGGTCAGCACAGGGTCACACCGCGTCGTAGTGTGCCGCCGCCACATCTGCAGAACACCCAACGGGTCCGCACAGAAAATTGTTCATGCTTTTGGATGTCACCGTAGGTGACATCCAAAAGTAGGTGAGTAAAGAGCACAGTAGGGGAGTAAAGAGCACCGTCACTGTTTCAGGGGAACGTGCCGAATTCACCAAGGAACACCACCGTCGATCCGGAGCACGTATCATGTCAGTGCACAGCACCACAGACCGACGAAGGGCACCATTGGTGTGGCTGAATAACATAGCTCATGACAATGCCTTGCACCAAAGATTATCACCTGGAACCCACGCCACATTCGCACAAAACACTGCCTCAGCTCGGAGCACCAGTTAGCGCCGAACACCAGCGCCTCACCTCCAGAAACCAGCGATGGTCGCTAAAGCACCATGGTCAAACGCACGGAACGCACCACCATACAGGAGGCCCCGGATGTGAGGAGGGGACGGGAGGGGATGAGGCTGCAACAACAGTGTGTTGTAGCTGCTGGGGAAAGAGGAGGAGAGAGGGGGGAGGGGGTACAAGTGCGCTTAGTACCAGCCAACGACCTACAACGTACGGTCAATTTCCAGGCCCGTGGCATGTGATGAGAACATGCCTGACATAGCTGCTCGGATCAAACATCCGGGTCACGCGCTCCCAGCTCGGCACAAAACACTCGCAGTGTGCCATAAATCAGCAGAAGGGAAGGGAACAGAGGGAAGACGGCTGGGCGGTGAGAGCCGCTGCGTACTTAACGCGAGCAGAGAGCTGCTTACGAACGCACTGCTAAATGCTAATGCAGGCACATTTCCCGAGCAAGAAACGTCGTGAGCGCGGGCTTCGCAAGTCCCCACGGAATTTACTGCTCGTATGTGATCGGTGGGGCTTAAACACAGCTGGTAACCTGTTGACAGAAGATAACGGACAGACAAGGTCGCAGCCGTAGGAAGCTGTCATTCAGACGCAATGCCTCTCATTTTAATGATGCCTGTGCATAAACAGCAGCGGGTTGTTTGCCTCGCCAGATACGGCTGCCGCCGGCTCTCAGATAAATCGTTCTGATTTGTCGCTGCGATAAGATCGTTCAGCCGACAGGACTCACCGCGTGAAGCCGCCCCGCTCGAGGGACGTCAACAACGATCCATTGCTCGCGGCACAAAACCGAGAATCCGCTACAAACGGCCCCGGTGACGATCTCGGCTCCGATGCGAAGATGACGTTACTTATACGACTCTAAGACACGCATTCACCTGAAGATCCGTTCCGGAGGCTGCTGGGGTAACGTGCCAAAATGACCCAGACAAACCTGCGTTTTGGTGCGCCATATTATTGTTTCACTTAATGTCACATCCAGCAGTCCAATGCTGTCTGGGAAACATCCGGAACTTATTACAATAATACGGATTCTCATCACCAGGTGACATTAGTTGCGAACAGTACCGCATCGTCTAAAACGGAACAAATACTGCGCAATCAAATTAATTGCTTTCGCAACCTATATAGACATTAAACGTCACATTACCTCGTATCACCAATTACGAAGACAACGGTGTGGGAAACTGCAAAACTACCGTCTCATATGCCATTTGTGAGCGATTGCCATCGATTTCTGCAGCTTTTTCGTCTCCGAATCAGATTGCCTGCTTCATTGTCAAGCCGCAACGTTTGAGATATGTCGCGAGCATGTCAACAAACTCCAAAGCTCAACTAAAACTAGCCCGAAGTGCGTGATTAACAAGCATCGCCAATCAATGCAACCGGCATACGAGTCTCCCAAGATTGGAGCGCTTGCATCGAGAAGGTTCTTATTGGCCGTGCACTCTCCGATTGACACAGGTCTGTTGATTCTTGGAGGTCGACGGCCGGGTCTCCATTGTTCGGTGGCCGAGACTCTTGCATCGAGGAGGCCCTCAACTGCTCCAACAGACCATTACAGATCGACCGGTCCCGGGCAGCCCGCCCTGTCTAATGAACTGAACAGCGTACGTAATATCGGGACAACTGGAATGCCTCTCCCCCGGCATGCCACCCAATCATCCGCCAAGGTCCCCTTCATGCGATTGAGCGGAGATCTCCACGGCGCGTGCTCATCAGCGGGCCGATGTGCCAATTTGCAGTGAAGCCGCAGCTGCCTCTTTTTAGCGCGTTCCGAGCGCAATTAGTAGCTCAACAGTTACAAGGGTAAGCTGCATTAGTGTCTGCCCCACGTACTGGCCTTGTCGTGTACCGGCCTTCATCCTGAACACACGGCCAGCACTCATCCCGAACATCCCCATCGGCCTTCATCCCGAGCAAACTGCTAACCCCCACCTCACGCACCAGATCTGGAGGTCAACATGCCCCACAAGACGTTGCTCGTTCTCCCGACCCCTGCCACGCAGTACCAAATCCAGCAGACGTCACAAACGGAAAGACAATTACCCCAGCACATTCTAGACGGTTAGAGACCCCCGCTTCCAGTACGCCCCAGGGAAAGTCAACCTCGCCAGCCCGTCCCAGGCAAGCCAGTCCGCTGAACAAAGCATTCCCTCCCCTCCCTCGCCCCCACACAACCCGGAGAAGCTGATGGTGGCGCGTGTGATTAGATGCAATTAGACGAGCCAATGGCCGGACAAAAACAGACCGCCGGGGCGCGGGCCGACCGGCCGGCCGGCAGGGTGAGAGACGGCCGGCCACCCAGCCGAGCCTCGCCTGGACTGCAGGCAACCCGGCCGAGGTCCGCCTGGACTCCTGCCGTCCACCCAGCCGAGCGTCGCCTGCGCTGCAGGCCACCCAGCCGAGGTCCGTCTGGACTCCCGTTGGCCACCTAGCCGAGATCTGTCTGGGCTCCTGTTGGCCACCTAGCCGAGATCTGTCTGGACTCCTGTTGACCACCTAGCCGAGATCTGTCTGGACTCCCGTTGGCCACCTAGCCGAGATCTGTCTGGATTCCTGTTGGCTACCTAGCAGAGATCTGTCTGGACTTCTGTTGGCCACCTAGCCGAGATCTGTCTGGACTCGTGTTGGCCACCTAGCCGAGGTTGGTCCGGACGCGTGCCGGACTCCCAGCCGACACTAGTACACACACACCGCACACACCGCACACAAGTTTTGTATTTTTAGGTGGTTGCATACAAATCCCGTAACACTAATTCACAAGTGAGCCGCACCAGCTTTGCGTAGGTCCGCGTATTTATTGCACCAATAGTTGCAAGTTCGGCATCATTTCAACGTTTCGCAAAACACTGTATGCGAACTTAGCTATGCTATTTCGTTGGGCAGCGACAGGGAAAGATTGCAGTGTACGATGGTCTCCGTCAAAATACAGATGCTCGTCGAAAGTGACGAAGAAATTGCAGCAACTCCTTCGTGTAGTAGTAGTGCACTTATCCAATTTGGTTTCACTTTCTTCAACAACTTGACGAGAAGTGACGTCGGGGCATCTCCAGGGCAAGCATTGTGTGTGGACACAGCACACACGGCCATGACCAGCAATTAACCTAATGGGCGGACGCAATCAGCATGGGCAGTTTGCGAATTGATCGTCCACGCCACTTCGTCCCGGCGCCGCCGCCGGCCGGCGGGTCTCTTCGCCTCGCTCCTCTGACCCTCCGCGGCGCGGCGGCCGGCAGACGCTACCTATCAGCCGGGCGCCCGGGAGCGGTGCGCCGACTGCCGGGCGCCGTCGCAACCGTTACAACGGCAGTCGGCGGCGGCCGAATAAACAGGCCGAGCAGCGGTTAATGACGAGGCGGAGCTATCGCTGGCGTATCGCGCCGCCGCCGCGCCGGCCTGGGCCATTTGTTAATTATCCGACGGATAGGTGGACGTGGCCCGGGCGGGCTGGGCCAGGCCGCGGGCGGCGCCGCCTGAGCCAGGCCGCGACGGCGCCGGCCCGCCCGGTGAGGCGTGTGAGGCTGCTGGGGCGGTGGCGGGGCGCGCCGACGGGAGCCCGGGTGAGCGGAGCCCGGGGACGGGAGCCCGAGGGAGCAGAGCCCGGGGACGGGAGCCCGAGGGAGCGGAACCCGGGGACGGGAGCCCGAAGAAGAGGACACGGCGTGACCCAGTTCGTGTCGTTCTGACTACACAGACGGGAGCCCGGGTGGGCGGAGCCCTGGGGACGTGTGAGACATGGTCCAGAGTGTACCGCTCTGAAATCTAAGACAGGGACACTACAAGCAGAAGGGTGGCGCGCGACGGCCTTAAACACAAGCCGTCAAACTCCTAGCGAACAATCGACACGACCCGCCAGACAATGGAAAAATCACTTATTAATACGATGGTGTGATGACAAGTCTGTCGTCAAAGAACTACACACATAACAGCTGTTGGGATACAAACTGACACAGCTGATAGACGTGATAAGGCATCAAGGTACAGTTCGTTTCGCCAGAAGTGTCTGCGGAGACCAGGGGCTGTAACTTCAGCTCCTTTCTTTATTGCAAACGTGATCTTGATCGTGCTACACTACTTTCCTGGCGCTGCGCTTCATTGCAGCTCGATGCTTTTTCGTGAAAGTAGTCAGGCACAAATGGGAAGTCATATATAAACGGTCAATGGAGAACGTTAGAGGAAGTACAGGTGCCAAAATGTTCTCAATTCTACGCCGACAGCGGGTAATGATAGGGCAGTGGTTTGTGTGCAGTTTGTACTGACGCATACAATAAAAGTAAAGAATGTAGTCCTTGTCTCACGAACTAATCTACGGCAGCTTGCTTATCAAGGAAGAGTTCGGCAGTGTAGTGTTGTACTGGCCAAAGGTGTGCAATCAATGAGACTTATCACACAAATATTTCATGCTTCTTAAAAAGCCAACACTCCAAGTAATTAACCCATATTGAATTGCTTTGATGGGTAGCGCAAATTAAGTGTGCATTTTGGAAGGACAAAACATCGCTCGCAGACAAAGTACAAGACGGCCATGCAACCATGCTTTTCGATGAACGCCGTGACCTGTCACTATTTACGAACGAACCATTGGAGG